TTTGCAATCGATTTCAAAGGGTATTCGACTGCTGATAAAGTGAAACGTATCGACAGTTGCCAGCTGGAAAAGTGAATCATAAAATATTCGTCACCTCTGGGTGGTGCCGGTGGTGCCCTCTTCGGGGTGTCGTCCGCAGAGGGTGTTCTCTCCCTCATGCTTTCCTGTGGGACCCCTTAGAGCCACCACTTCGGTGAACCCATGTGCCACGTCCTCCTGAAACATATCAAAAAGAGAAATCGTCAGGACCCATTCTCACTGAATAATCAGAAATTTCATTATCTACGAAGCAGCATTCGATCTTCGCTTCGTTAGAAACAGCATAGATCAATCTGTGCTGTTTCTAATAAATTCTGCCATCAGGCGAACGATTACGAGATGTATAAAATGTTACAATGACTGGCTACTATTTATCTGAATGATGTATGGTTTACCCGATGTGAGAGCCAATGCACAATACAATACAATCTTTCATCTTAACACTGGAGCAGTAAAGTTAGTTGAAAACATTTATTATGGGGAAACAATAAAAGATAATGTTGTGCATTGCGAAGCTTCAGAAATTATTATATTAAACAATTGGTTTGATTAACAAAAATTTGAATTCTGTATTAGCTGAAATAGGAACATGTGCAACTGAGAACCATTGTCGGTGTTCCTAAAGTAGCTTACTTCGAGCTGTGATAACGTCATTAATCATCGGTTTATAATAATAGACAATTTCCAGCAAGCTTCCAATACAAAATGTAAACATAGCTTCCGTAAATATAACTGTCAGTAGCAACTGACTATTCATAACAATGCCCACTGAGGCGGAACGACGTGAATGGTAATTGAGAACCAGTGTTCCCAAAATTACTCATACAAAGCCTCCCTAAAAAACGCCAACATTTCCAATAAACTCAGATCACAAGACATACTTAAATCGATAAATTAATCAACATTCTCCACAAATATAGCTACCAGTAGCAAATGACTATCCATAATGCCAACTGGGGCAGAACCAGGAAGACCATAATTGAGAACCACCATCGGTGTTCCCAAAATCACTCATACAAAGCTTCCCTAAAAACACCCCTAAACAATTCGAATCTAACTTCCAGTAAACTCTCATCACGGAACATACTTAAATCGATAAATTAATCGACATTCTCCATAAATATAGCCGCGAGTAACAACAAGTGACTCTATTCATGGCGATGCCCGCTGAGGCAGAACGACGTGAACGGTAATTGAGAACCACCATCGGTGTTCCTACGCTCGATGATGCAGTAGTCGAGGGTCTCTCTCTTTAGCTTCGGCCTGGTCATATCGCGATATGCTCGCTCTCGGCCGCTGCCGCCGACGTGTATCATTGTGAGCGTGTGCCCGCCCGGTAACTTCGTATCACCTGCGCGATACTGGCATTCGATTCCGCGGAGGCCATCCCGCCGGCTTTTTCATTCCGCCTGTGCGCGCGGATGCGCAGAATCCGGCTGGCTGCCTGCCTGCTGCCTCTCTGCGCCGCTTTCCGTGCTTATTGGGACGCGCAAACCGGGAGAGCGTGCGCCCGCGCGCGCGCGCGAGCGAGTGACGTGCGAACGAGCGAACGAGCGAGTGGACGTGCGAGCGCAGGGCGGCTTTCGAGTTTCGTGGGGAGGACGCTCTATTTGCTCGGTTTGATTAGTTTGTTTCGCACGTTCCTGTTTTCTTCATCGCGAGAGGGAAACCCTCTCCTCCTCTCGGTGCACGCGCCCGTAACTGAGTTTCTATTATTAGGGAACAAAGGCGAACACCCGACGATCCGCGAATTTTAACTCCGCCGCGACTGTCGGCTGATCGGCCGTGTACCCGGGCGTTTCGGTTGGGCGATTCGGGTACTTGACGGATGGAGTACCTGAAAGTGGAGGTATTTGGAGATTCAAGTGTTTGGATCGTATGGGAATCTAGGGCACCCGTAAAAATCGGGATACCTGAAGGGTGGAGTACTTGAAGGTCATTGTAACTGGAGGTCAGAGTACCCGATGATCATAGTAACTGGAGATCATAGTAACTAAAGGTCGGAGTACCCGATGGTCATAGTAATTGGAGGTCACAGTTGCTGGAGGTCAAAGTACCTGATGGTAATAGCAACTGGAGGTCACAGTACCTGATGGTAATAGCAACTGGAGGTGAGAGTACCTGATAGTAATAGCAACTGGAAATCAGAGTACCTGATGGTCATGACAACTGGAGGTCAGAGTACCTGATGGTAATAGCAACTGGGGGTCAGAGTACCTGATGGTAATAGCAACTGGAAGTCAGAGTACCTGATGGTAATAGCAACTGGGGGTCAGAGTACCTGAAGGTCGGAGTACCTAAAGGTCGGAGTACCTGAGAATTGAGATATCTGGAGCAAGAGGCGTGAACTTACAGAACTTGTATACGTAATATTTAGAACTGCATTGCCAAAGACTTAAAGTTTCAGTACCCAAGTATCTAAAGTGAAAATATCCGAAAGTACCTGAACGTAATTCGCTTGAATACCTTAATACCTGATACCAAAATACACTCGTACCAGGTAATAACTGTCTACTGTCCCCAGATCTCGAAGATCATAAAACAGTCCATAAAGAAATTAACATACGATTCATCGATTCCCTCCTTCTCCCGTCAATCCCGTTTCTATCTAGCACACGCCGTATACATATGTATTACCCAATAAGTAACAAAATTAATCGCCTCTCCGAGTGACAGATAAGACATAATTTCGTGGATAACACTCGTGCCTCGAATAACAGCCATTGGAAATGTTAGACGATAAGAAACGTTTGGCGCGATGTATCTTATATAGGACGTTCTATTCATTGATAACCATGTAACCTTAAATTACACAATTACACGCTTACCCACCCCAATAATCCTCGATAAAATTCACGAACTCATTCGAATCAACTCTGATGCAGGTTAAAAATCGCATAACACAAATTACAAAAAGATCAGGAAAAACGATTTATAAAACAATAAATCTTACAACGGACTAATTAAGAATTTCTAGAAAATGGGGGAGGTGTCATTACAGCGCAAAACCGTCGGGTCAAGAAAACGTGCTAAACACTGTTCTCCTCGGCGAAAACTAAACAAACGATAAGGCGGAATTCGCTCGTTTCTATCTCCCGGTGCATGCACGCGCGCGTGCATCCATAATCAAGGCCAGTGGTGCTCAATTGCCAATTTCCACCGCCCGTTACCCTCGATTTCCGCGAAGCGCTAGACACATTTCGTGTTATCGAAACGTTGCAAACAGCGGCATAACGCTAACGCGATTTGCAGAAACGTGTCCCCAGTGGTTCTCAATAGCGACTGGCTCGTCTATGATCGGTCGATCCTTCCATCGTACTTCCGTCTAATGAAAGTAATTGCGGGGTCTGCCGGTCCGTTATTAGACGCGTCGTTCCTTGAGAACCGTGAAGAGACCTTGTCTCTCGCGCGAAAAGCGGTTCTCAATAGTTCTGTCTGATTTATGTATCATTGGTCTTCAGGTTAGACTGATTACTATTGAAATTATTACTGCTGTTTTCAAAAGATATTGCTCGATATAGGTCAATGTTTCTTGTTCTAAGTTTCTTCGCCATTTTATTCTGCATATATTCGAGAACTTGTGAATAGCTAAACATTTGTGTATATTATTATTAATGTTATTATGATCGTCTAATTTATGTCATTAGTCTTCATGTTAAACTGATTACTACTGAAATTATTACTGTTATTTTCAAAAGATGATATTGCTCAATATAGGTCAATGTTTCTTCACCATTGTATTCTAAGTATATTCGAAAACTTAAGAATAGCTAAGTATTTGTGTATTATTAATATTATATACATTATTATGATATCTAAATTATGTATCATTAGTCTTCGTGTTGGACTGATTACTATTAACATTATTATTGTTGCTTCCAAAAGATATTGCTCAATATTATGCAATATTTCTTCTTGTTCTAAGTTTCTTCATCATTTTATTCTACGTATATTCGAGAATTTAATAGCTAAACATTTGTAAACAATGGTGCACTGAACTGGAAAGTGATCGAGATTACCAAAAATAGGAAACGAAATTTTCGTCGACGAAAACGCTTGTATTATGATCGTCTAATTTATGTATGATTGCTATTAAAACTATTATTGTTGCTTTGAAAATATACTGCTCAATATAGCTCAATATTTCTCCTAAATTCTTTCACCATTGTATTCTACATATAGCTGAACATTTGTAAACAATGGTGCACTGAACAGGAAAGTGATCGAATTACCGAAAATACGAAACAAAATTTTCATGTATATTATTCTAGTTAATACAGTTACGAGAATCCGCGTTTTCATCTCATACTTTCCACAGCAGTGGCTCTCAATTTCAACAGGAATATTAATCGATCCTCTGCCACACTTCAGTCTAATTACAGAGTCTAATAACCCGTCATTACCCGAAACCGTGTCTCGAAAATCGCGGGCGGCTTGTCACGGGTGATCAGTGGTTCTCAACGAGTCCTCCTTCCAGAAAACACGCATGTAATTAACGCTCACCCTAACCAGCGCCGACAGCCGTAAAGAATGGCTTTCATATCCGGTTTCCAACGTTTCAGTACCCATAATCTTCCACCTCGCGAAGGAACCAACGAAATAACAGAGCAAAACGAGTCTGCATGAAATCCCTGGATCGAGAACTGAGCTCCAACACGCAGAAACGCCGAAAATAAAAAGGAACGTTGTTTACACAAGCATTTTAAGCGTTAATTTCACACGCTCCGAGAACGATATTAAGCAAAAATACCCGCTGTCTTATCTCGGGGCCGCGGCGAATCATTTATTCCTCATTACTCCGTATCTGTACAGTGTTCAGCGCGCAGCAGCTCGAGCGAAAGAGAGATCTCGAACGTGCGAATACGCTGCTTCTTCCTTTTTTATCCGCTGGCAAATCCTCGAATGTCGCGGGGCTCGAGATAAAAAGGGGGTCAATATTCTTCTGTCCGTGATTGACAAGAACACACCGCGCAAACAGCAATGAAAGAAGAGGAACGACGAGAAGAAGGAGACGGGAGAAAACAGAAGAAGAGGCTGGTGAATTAATTGAGTGCAAAAGCAGAGGCAGTTAATCGATATCACGGTCACTTAAGAGCGCTTCTATGACGGACAAAGAGAAGGAGCAGGAGGAAAGGAGGAGGAAGGAGAAGAAAACGAAGAACAGAGTCGAAAAGGGG